TCATGTCATAGAATTAGACGGAAGTGCAGCGCTATCTTATTGTCTACTGTATCCATCTCTTGTTTGATCTGTCCCGAAGCTTTTACCCACCTGGTCCAGACCCTCCGACCTTGGTTTCTCTCTTACTTTCCTCGTGCCAAGCTAGCTCTGAGCCCTCTGACTTGACTTTCTGCTTACTTACTGTCTTTTCCCGCCCTCAGCCACCAGTTGGTTGTTGCTGCCTTCCCGAGTCTTCTCGCCTCTGCCGGGTACGCGCTCCCAGAACTTTGAAACTCTCTCTCTCCCTCCCCGAACAGTACTACTGGGTCCCGTGACCTGCTTCCTCTCCCTCGCAATCTCTCGCCGGCCCTTTCCAACCACTGCTGTTCGGGACCCGGCCTCCATCGCTTGTGAGTCGGCATTTTTAGTTATCCAGCCTTGTCGGTATGTACATCCATCCTATCTGTCCCTTTCCATTTTCCTTCTTGATATTTTCAAACCTATTCGATCCCCTTTTCACTACCTTCCCCACCATCATTCTCCCCCATTGCCCCCTCATTGCACGCTGAGGTGTGGCTGTTGCTTTGCTCGTGTCGCAGAGCGAAGCGCGACTCTCTGCCAGCTCTTGCACCAAGCTTGACGCGTCTGCCCCCTCCTCATCATTTCATCGACACTCATCGTCTCTACTCCTTCCCATTGATGGAGGTCATGATGACTTTGAGATCCCCATTCCCCTCGTCGCGGCTTGATGATGGCTCCCCAATCCATGTGTCAATTTTTCTGATAGCTTGCTTCGCCTCGCAGATGGGTTGGTAAAACTACTCGACATGAATGCCTGGCCAGCCGACGCCTTGAACCTTCCGAACCATGACAATGGTGCTTTTCACCAGGCGACCATTGATCCTTCTCAGGCATTCCTCCAAGCCTCTCCCACTCCTGACCCGACCCAATACCAGCGCATGTTCAACGGCGTGCCTCGCAATGTCTCGCCTGGCTTCCACAACCCGAACCAGGTAATCCCGTCCAAGCGGCCACGGCCGGAGGATGGTTTGTCAATGTCGCCAAGGCAAGCTCCTGGCGGCATTGCTGCCTCCCGTTCGCAAACCCCTCACCAGGTGCCGTTCCCCGGCTATCAAGGTGCTTCGAACGGCGCGCCGCAATTTCCCTCGCATCCCACTCCGTATCAGCATCTCCAACAAGGAGCATCTCCGAATGTGACCCAGTCGCCTATCATGCAAGACTTCGATCAACATGGCATCCAAAGGATGGGAACTGCTTCCCCGAGCCCATTTACACCAGCAGGCCCTCAAGTAGGGACACACATGTCTCCGACCAGGGTGAATACACCCCAAAATAACACGTTCATGCCGGGGCAGCCGTTTCCACCGGGCATGGGTCCTCAATTTGCTCCCGCGTCTGCAATGACGACCGCCGGTGTGCAACCGCCAATGCAGGCTCATTTTGGTGGCATGCCACAAGGCTATCAACAAGCAATTGCCGCGCAGCAGCAACAACGTCTGCATGCCATGCAGATGCAACAACAAGGCCGTCCAATGGTAATGAATCCTGCCATGGCCGGGAGACCCATGGCAGCTGGGATGAACGCGATGGCGAACCCCCAGCAAATGGCAGCTATCAGGCAAATGCAGCAGACCATGGCGAAACCCATGAACCCAGAAGGATTCATGCGGTCCCTGCAGAAGTTCATGATGTCGCGCAATCTTGTTTTGGATCCTAACCCACATGTGTGTGGTCGTCCGATCAATCTTGTCCAACTTTACGCTACCGTCATGAAACTTGGAGGGTCGAAGAAGATTACAGCCACCAATATGTGGCAAGTTATCGCCACACAGCTCCAATTTCCCCCGATGCAGGTCCCGATGGCCGCGCAAGAAATTCGGGAACATTACCAGCGGAACCTTGCAGCGTACGAACAAGCCTTCCTCAGTAACCAACAAAAGCAATATGCGGAGCAAATGCAGCAGTCGTCGTTGTCTCGGCAGCCTAGCGATCCTTCGGGCATGCAACTACAGTCGCCAGCGGGAAAGCCAGTCCAAGGCTTCGAAACTCCACAGCAGATGGGGCACCCCTCCCCTAGTAGTGCTCCTGGTCCGAATAATGTACAACACAATGCTGCAAATGGCTTCGCAACTCCAACGCCGGTAAAAACACAGAGCAAACAACAGAACCAGCACCGCCTCAGTACATCGCGTCAATCCCAGCCGCCCCCAACGCCGCATGATCCTAGCACTCAAATCCCCGGGCAATCCCCTGCGCAGCGTGGCAAAGGCTCGATATCAGTTCCCGGTAAACCGGAGCCAGTAGATCAGCCTTCTAATATGCCTCTCAAACAGCCTATCGAAGATCCCTTCAAGCCAATGGTGCTTCCTGAAAGCAACTTCCATGGTCCCATAGTTGTGGATGAGATGTATCAGATTGGAGAAGACATCACGAGGCTAAAGCCGAATCTTCCTGCTTTTGCTGAGCTTGGGGTCATCGACATTCACGCCCTTACCATGAGCATCAAGTCTGGAATCCATGCCGAGATGCGCGTGGCATTGGACACCCTCGCGTCCGTTTCGTCAGAGCCTGCAATTCAAGTTTCATTGGATAATTGTGACGACCTGGTAGAGAGTCTGATAGAGTGCGCAGAAGATCAAGCAGAGTTCCTTGCAGAACATTCTCCTGAGGTTTCGGACTCGATGCTTCTATCCTCATATGAGGAAGTGACTCGTGGTTGTCAGTCCGAATGGACATCTTTGGCTGACGTGCCTGAGTTCGGAAGCCTTGATTACGAATTAGATCGAGCTGTTGATAGGCTCATTTGCATAACGACTATCCTGCGGAATTTTTCATTCTCAGATTCCAATTTTGCAATTTTGTCGACGCCTCCTGTTGTCCAATTCATGTCAACGATAATCCGGTACCTGGGTACTCGCAACATGCTGCTACGGACACACCAGAACACTTTAGATTTCATGAAGGACACTGTGACTTATTTGAGCAACGTTGCTCACACCATTCAGCTGCCCAGCAAGGAAGAAGCTCTGTGTCTCCTACATTTCCTTTTGTCGTTCGCCCCATTTCCGGGCCCAGTGATTGGTTCAGAAGGCATCATGTTTACATCATACAATCCGTCTGTACACAAGTACACTCCCGCGGCTGTTGACAGTCTGGCCAAGCTTCTGGCGCGTGATGAACCAAATCGGACATTCTTCCGAGCCATCTTCTCTGGCGAGGGCAATTCGAATCAACAAGAACTGCTCACTCGTGCATTTGGCCTCGCGATATGTCCGATCCCTGATCAACCCCGCAAACCGCTGGCCATTGCAGATCTCCGAAAGGTCTTCCTCATGCAAGGCTTGTTGGCGGCCGACATTCTTTCAGGGTATGCAGATGGCCCTACTGCCAAAACGTGGCTCGAATCAGTGGACGGGTTTGCCATTCACCTTCTTCGACTGTCATGTCTTCTGAGCACTGAGCGTGTTCCTCCTCCTCCCCCCACCAACACCCGACAGTCTCATGCTGCAAGAGGTCAGGCTGATGAAGCTGAAGCATACCGCTCAATCATTAACCGAGGCCTGGCCATCCTTCGCCGGCTCGCAGAAAAGTCGAAGCTAGCAGATACCAACTCGACGGTGCATTTTCCCTCGGGAATCGTTCCGCGCAAGGAGAGTTTGCTAGGCGCGTTGCTAATGCCCAATATCGATCCGGGTGTTGTTCGGCAATTGCTCACCTACGCTCGACTTGCGGAGTGACAGGTCAGACTTTGAGCCAGGTTTCAAGCTACTTGCCTCGTGGCGAGAATCGCGTGCCTGGCACCAGCTTCAGTTATGCCCCCTGTTGATGTCTGCTTCTATCATGTCTTCTATTCAACTTATTAGTAAACTATATCTGCATCAGCTTTGATCTTCCTCCTTGACCCCCTCCTCCTCATCTGTTAAATTTTTCCTCGTTTGGCGCCGGTGGGAAGATTTTTGAAAGGCGTGACTTGACAATGTGTGTGTATCTTGTGTGATTTACCGCTGTACAATGTTCAATACCCTCGGGCGTAAAAAAAATGAACACAATCACCACCATATATAGTGTTTGAAGTGGGTCGGCCCAGGATCGACTCGAAGCGTAGCTCCGGGGAAAGCTGCGATTCCGTTGAGCGCGTACCTTGATGATGGAAGCACCGCCAGCGTAGACGGTCTGTCCGCACGTACCGCTCCAAAATACCGATGGCTCCAATCATGCCATACCATTTACCCTATAGATTCGAATCAATACAAGTATAAGAGATACCCGAGTCTTTCATCGAAAAAAATTACTAAGTATGTCACAAGAGACTAATGTGGAAACACCAAAGCCGTTCAGATCATTGGACAGAGAATACAGTGGAGATCACAACGGAGACGGAAAACAGAGCACACACATCACGCCAGAAAATGACAGACAGAACAGCCAGAAGATAGCTCCGTAGTTCGCAACGGGAGAAAAGAGACGAAGAGGGAAATGCGAAAACGAAACACCTGGAGCAAGTACTATGAAGAGCGAGGAATAGTACACTGTGTAATCGGATAACGAAGAGAAAGAAGAAGAGGAGGAAGAAATGTAAAACGATGGGAGATGGTTCGACGACGATAAGAGTTAGGTGGTTATTTTAGTTGACCGAGAAGAAAGGGAAAATTCCAACCATCATTAGCGGACTATTCGCTTATAGCTCGCTCGCCCTTTTCCCCCTTTGTGATAAATATTCTGCTTTTGAGTGTCATCTCTCTCCCACTCGTATCTTTGTAGTGGATTCTCGGTTCATGGGGACGGTGTTTGATTTTCCCTGAATTTTTGGTGATCTGTTTCTTTTTGGATCCTTGACGCTCCGGGGGTCGATGGGAGTTGCTTGTGACGTGATAGCGTGCTATTAGTGCTGCTGTCGTTTTGGGCCAAGCTGTGGTGGACAAGGAGATATTGACATTCGTATTTTGAGGAATGAGCGAGAAGGATCCAGAAACCAATCTCAGGTCATTTGGTTGATAGGCTTAGAAGTTGCGCTCCGTCAGGAAACGCTCGATCTCCCGTTTCCGCCAGCCCTGGTAATGATAGTTGCGTCAGTCCGATTGCTAGGTCCATGCGTGAGAAATAATAACAGGTGCTGCGCCATACCTTGACGATGATGTGGCCGTTGAGACGGTTGATTGTCACCTCTGGGCTCTTGGGGGCGCCAGGGTCGCCCGACTCCAGACCCAAGTACTGTGCCAGATCCGATCTTAACGCATCAAGATCACCCTCCGTCTTCTGCAACTTGGTTTCGCGCTTGGTGCCGCCGGCTTTGGTGTCAACGTATACAGGAAGGAGGTTGGAGGCGGTGCGGCGAATGAAGTAGGGGAGGTTGGTGAGTTGCAGGTTAGCAGGCGGTTGCGGAGTCGTCGGCGCGCTCTCCTTGAGCGTCTGAGATTGGCGGCGGTTCAGTTGAGCGATGAAGGTGCGACATTGCTGTGCGGAGGTGGAACGGACATTGAGGCGCTGAGAGGAATGGCGGGCTGGATGCCATGGGATGGAATCAGTATACATGCAATGCCTTTCTGGTTTATCTGGTGTGCCGGGCAGAAGCAATAGCTATGCATGCTTACTGTCCCCGATGCATGGAACTAGACGGAAAGCGCTGCAAACTTACGGGCAGAAGTCAGACTAGCGGAGGAAGATAGTGTGGAGTAAGAGCTACGCGGTCCCAGGGAGACAATGGACTGTGAGGCTTTGTGAAGGGTGAAAGGAACAGCAGTTGACTGCTTGCGAACAGCCGTGCACACCGGCAGAGACTGGAGGAAGGATGCCATCGAAATATTGGAGGGTGGGAAGGGGAGGTAGATGGGTTTAGAGTATGAATAGATAAGATCAGACAATAGAATCCAACCTGAAGGAATTCGAAGATCAACCCAGCGGTAAATAAGAGAAGAAAGCGGGGAGGGGGATGAGGGACGAGAACATACGATCTCGAAGAAGATGAAGCAAAAGCGATGATTTTCTTGCTTCGGCGCGGAGACCTTTGACTAGGCCCAGAAGAGACTAGCGCGTCAACCAGCCCTCCCGCCCACATTTTCGCCAGCGCAAAAGATGGACGCCGCACACTGACTCTTGACTGACTGTCTGCCTCAGTCTGTCTTTCTTGCCCAGCCAGAAGCCTCATTCGAGATCTTCTCGTTGTTGCTCCTTTATCTCCTCCTCCTCCACCCTTCTCCTCCTTTTTTTTTCTACCGCCCCCCTCCCCTCCCCCCTCCCCTCCCCTCCCTCCTCCCCCCCACTACACTCTCCAGCAGCTGCTGTTTCTCTATAACAATATGGCAGCCAACGTCCCTCCCTCCGCTGAGACCCTTCTCAGTGGTGCCGCCGCCCACCCTCCCAAGACCGCTGAAGAAATCGCCAACCAATATGACCTCCTCCCCAAGTTGATCCCCTACCTCGATCGTCACTTGGTCTTCCCTCTTCTCGAATTCAGCTCCGGCGGCCAGGATGACGACCGGGAAACCATCCGTGCCAAGTATGAATTGCTCAAGCACACCAACATGACCGACTACGTCGCCAACCTCTGGAAGGAAATCAACAACTCCGACTCCATCCCCGAAGAGTTCATCAAGAAGCGTGAGGAGGTTCTCGCCAAGTTGCAACACTACCAGGACCAGAGCGCCAAGATCACCGAGCTCCTGCAGGATGAGAGCGTCGTGGGCAACCTGCGCAGCGACAAGGTCGCCAACTTGAAGTTCCTCGAGGAGCAGCACGGTGTCACGATCGAGATGGTCAACAGCCTCTACGACTATGGTCGTTTCCAGTACAGCTGCGGTAGCTACGGCAATGCTGCTGAGCTCCTCTACCAGTTCCGTGTCCTGTCCACCGACAACGACAAGGTTGCCTCCGCCACCTGGGGTAAGCTCGCCTCGGAGATTCTGACCACCAGCTGGGAGGGTGCGATGGAGGAGGTTCTGAAGGTCAAGGATTCTATTGAGACCCGTCTCTTCAACAACCCCCTGGGACAACTGCAGAACCGCTCTTGGTTGATCACCTGGTCCCTGTTCCCCTTCTTCAACTACGACCCCGCTCGCGATGTCTTGACCGACCTCTTCTTCTCCCCCGCCTACATCAACACCATCCAGACCAGCTGCCCCTGGATCCTGCGGTACCTCGCTGCCGCCGTTATCACCAACCGCAACCGCGCCCACAAGAGCACCAGCGTCTACCAGAAGCAATTGAAGGATCTGATCCGGGTCGTTCGCCAGGAGGGCTACGAATACTCCGACCCCATCACCGACTTCGTCAAGGCGCTGTATGTTGATTTCGACTTCGAGGAGGCCCAGAAGAAGCTGGGCGAGGCCGAGGATGTGTTGCGGAGCGACTTCTTCCTCGTCTCTGCTGCCGATGCTTTCGTTGAGGCCGCCCGTCACCTCATCTCCGAGAGCTACTGCAAGATCCACCAGCGCATTGATATCAAGTACGTGCTACGAGAGAGCGGATATAAGAAATGATGTGACTAACCCGGACTGTAGGGACCTGTCCACCCGTTTGGGTCTGAACCAGGACGATGGTGAGAAGTGGATCGTCAACCTGATCCGCGACACCAGAGTCGATGCCAAGATCGACTACAAGGAGGGCACTGTTATCATGAACCACCCCCCTCAGTCGGTTTACCAGCAGGTTATTGAGAAGACCAAGGGTGCCTTCTTCCGGACACAAGTCCTGAGGTAAGTTCGATCCGAGGGAACCCTTTGAAGTATATAGTCTAATGGATCCTACAGCGCGGCCGTTGCGAAATAAATGACAACCCTTCTTTGAAGTTTTCTCTGAAACAAGAATTTCGTCCTTTTACCCTTCTCTTAATGGTTCTTCCATGTTAGTAGTATTTCCCGCCGAAGTGCGGCGGGCTTCCTGAAATGATGGGACCAAGCAGAGTGGCATCAGGCTGGCGTTCAGGTGGTCCACTTTTCATGTCTTTCTTCTTTTTTACCTCTTTTTGCTTATGTCTCTCTTCCCCATGAACCTGTCTATTTCCCCCCTATGTATCTCTTTGTCGACATGCTTTCAGGTGAGCCTTTTTTTGGTGTGACGATCCACGCCCGACCTGGAAGAAAAGCAAAAAAAACTAAAAGAAGTACTGTCGAAGTTTCCACCGGGACAACTTTTTATCTTCTGTAAAGGATTGGCAATTCGGGGATCAAGGAAGCGACAGATGGGACGCAGCAGCTGACTGGTACACTGTACCAATCGCTCCTCAGCTTCTGTCTCGCTTATGATAGAATCTCCTGATGCCGGGGGAACATTGAACCCACTATTGCCTCATGCCGTGTGATTGGTTGGTCTATGCAGTTACGAATGATCTATAGAGATGATGGAATTGAATGTTGAATCTAGATCTATCTTTTTTGGTTGTTCATTCTAATACAGTCAGAGCTCTACCCACAAACCAACATCCACCCTTAAACTTCAGGATATCTACTACCTCACCCGCCTCCGACTCGACCCCAGCCCCCTCACGCGCCGTCGCCCACCCGTCTCACCATGACCATTAGTATAACCGGCACCCCTGATCCACACAATCTCATTGATATACGGCTCCTCTCCTTCTCTCCCCCCCGAACATCGAGCTGTCGGACTTGCCCCGCTACTGCTGCAGCTGCTATAGCCATAGCTCCCATTAATGCTATCACCAGCCATACGAAGCGACTCCTGCCGTTCGTATTCCCTGGACATAGCCGCGAGATCGTCGATCTGGTCCTATATTGTTTCCGAAGGGAGTAGAGTTAGGACGGTGTTCCTCGAAAGTCTTAGTGCAGGATAGTTACTGTTTCCAGTCAGGAGAAGACGTACCCGCGTCAAGGGTACGCCGGTGATGAGATAGCCGTCTCGGCCCTGCGGCGAGGGAATCTGTGGTTAGTAACTGTCGTTGATCATTGGGAATTGGAGGGGATATTCGGTGGGACATGCTAAATATGTATGTATGTATGTAGCATATATCATTGGGAGAAGCTGAAATCTTGCTGGGTGGCACACCTGATGGGAATACGGCCGCGCACTCGCCGCTGGGCCCAGGAAGTACTGGATCTGGCTGAGGACGATGGAGCGCGAGAGCCCGTAGCCGGGGAGCCAGTAATGCTGGGTCTCTGGGGGTGGCATTGTCGGTCTTTTGTGTCTCTGTGGGCTGTTGTATACTGGATGTGTTGTTGGTGGGAGGTATATATGGGGTTTTTGTATGTATAGTAGTCGTGAAGGACGAATCAATTTCAGAAAGTATTGTATGTTCGCAACCCAACAATGAGGAGAGCACACGCTTCCGTTGTGTATTTATAGGCAGGTCCCAAATCCTCGATCATGCAAGGGAAATATTTGCTCGTTGCTTAGCTGGTTTGTCGCTAGCCCTGTCATGCGTTCTGGGCTTGTCTGCGTGAATGCTTCGCTTTGCTGCACCCCTGCGTATGTACTTTAGCTGTGGAGCTGTGGTTTCTACTACTGATAGGGTTCATGATTCAACTGATGTAGCAATCGTTTCTCGAGTGTGAGAACTGCCATGTGTGCATATATCTATTCTTAAGGCCACAAACCCGATATACATATATGGACTATATCAACAAAGAGGAGAGAAAGAGAGAGAGAGAGAGAGAGAGGAAAAAGACAGCCCTACTATCACTGCTAGAATGCAGTCCCGTAGCGAACAGAAAAAGCAAGCCCGCCTCACTCCTTCCCATCCAACCACCACCATCCTCTTCTACACCGTTTCTTCTGAACAGCCCCAAAAGTGAGGCTGTGTCCGTCAAGGAAAACAAATGAACCAGGCGAACTCGACCCCCCACAAATCATAAGCTTATGCGTGGTGGGAATTGTTTCAATTTATCCAAGTGGGATATTGCTTGTTTGACTTTGATGTTGCTGCAGCGCCAAAAATCATGCATGCAGTTCTGATGTGGTGGCTACAGGACAGTTATGCATGTACAGTACTGGGAACATGTGCTTTGGGATCTGGTGCAGTGGCTCCAGGAACTTGAAGTTCGCTTCAGGTGGATTGTGGCATGGTGTAGGGTTTGATTGGCAAGGGGATTTCTGAGGGATTGGGCCAGGCGCTTTTGATCCCCGTGGGTGTACGATAGAGGTCTAGATAGTGATTGCATCTTCTGACGATGGCGTTCAGTGGACACAGATGAGGGGCAGTTGCTTTCCCTTTTACACTGGCGTCACCTGATATTGTTCTCAAACTATCTTACTCGGGGTTTCTTGTAAGAAGTCGCTGTATGAACTAGGTATCTTAGCCTCTTACACTTGTCAAGTTATCCTCCTCGTCATGATGCTGGTCGAAGCAGCACGGCAACGCCTAGGATCTGGATTACTCCATCTCGTTCATGCGGTGAGTCAAGCACGCGGGTTCTGGCAATCGAACGGCTGACCGCTTCATGGCTTCTTCAGATCCCAGCCATCCAGTGATCGAGCCAGCCATGCGGGGTCCCATTGCTCCTAAATGCAGGAATCTTGCAAGATGAATCAAGTTCAGTTGTAGGTAGAATGTCAGCAAAGAAGCTCACATGTGAGCAACATGACCCAGGGCCATAGGCACATTGACACTCAAGACTCTTCAGACATCAGGCTGCTCATCGAGATTGCTAAGATTTTGTGGTCGAAGCGAAGGAAATGAACATTATCGAAGAGTATAGATGGAGCTGCAGGCAGAAGGTAAAGTCATAGTACAGAGATCCAAATCAACATGCTGATGCGGAAGACAAACCTCTTGAGCTAGTACAATTCCCCAGCTCAAGAAGGGAAGATCAATATTCAGAATCACCAAAACGCTTCTTGCATTACTGTCTATGATCTTTTCGTGACTCATCCAGACAAAAGGCATACTTGCAGCAAAATATCATGCAAAGAATCGTTCTGCATCCATTAGTTGCCCTCCGGGGGAACATATGGGTTCACAAGCATGTCGCTAAACCTGTTTCCTGAATTAGCATCGACTTTCAATGTGTCTGAGCTACTCGGACACTGCTAGGTCATCACATACTTCTCAAGCTTCTCCTTTCCTCTGACTTCCTCAACCAACAAAGGCATCCGGACAACGTTGAAGTCCTCGTAGAGTTCCCCGATCTGCTCAAGGTACTTCTTCTGCATCTTTCTGCGTGCGTTACACTGTTCGCACGCGCTGCTCTGCTTGGGGAATAACAGTTGGTTGACGACGATAGCATGGGTGTCGATGTTGTAGCTGGTCAACTCCTGAATCATGCGCTCGGTTTCGTACAGAGACAGGAACTCAGCGATGCAGACGCAGACGAAGGTGGTAAGGTCGGCATCCTTGAACTGGGAGTTCACCTCGCTAATCGTCTCCCGGAGAGACTCCATCTTCTGCAACAGCTCGTCGATATTCTGACCGCCGGGCAAAGCTCCACGGGAGCCCAGAATGGAGTTGAGCATAGGGCCAAACTGGGAGGACAGCTGCGACAGTTTCGCGAGAGCCTTCTCGAGGACGGTGGGGAATTGGAGGAAGCGGAGAGTGTGGCCGGTGGGCGCAGTGTCGAAAACGATAACCTCGTAGGACAGGGACTTGACTTGCTTCAAGACCTCAGCGAAGGACATGGCTTCGTCAACACCGGGGATCTAGTGAACCAATCGTTAGCCAATGTAAGCTCCGTGATGCATGCGCGCAAACGCCATGGGGCGCGGAGCGTACGCTGAAAGCCAGATCCTGCATCATGCCGCCCACACCCATCCCGGACAAAGGATCATCTCCCTGGCCTTCACCACTAGCCAAAAGGTCCTGGATACTGCCATTGGGGTCGATCTCCATGGCGCTCAAATTGGTATAGCCATCGACCAGTCGAGCCTCCTTTCCAAACTTCTGTCCAAAGGCATCGCTCAGGTTGTGTGCGGGGTCGGTGGAAATAAGCAGAACGGACTTGCGGACTTTGGCCAGCTGAATCGCAAGCGAGCAGGAGGTCGTAGTCTTGCCGACACCTCCCTTACCACCGACGAAGATCCAGCGCAAGGTTTTCTGGTTGACAACCGACTGGAGCGTGGGCTCCATGAGGTCGTCGCTATGCACGACAGCGGAGGACATGGTAGGGGGTCGAAAAATAGGGAAAGGTTCAAGACTATGGTTTTGGTTGTGTATCTGGTCTGGAGAACAGAGGTAAAAAAGGAGTAAGCTTTAGTTAGCGCTTGACAGACTTGCAGTGTTGATTTGGAGCTTGGACTTTACCACGTAACTTACGGGTTCCCCGCAGAGTCCTGAAACCTTCGGATAAGGCGGTCGGTGGGATTTCGAGAAGTTTCGTAAGAAGAGCTGCGTCACCCCACGCTAACTAGTAGTTGAGGGAGGTAAATTGACAGGCCACTTGGAAGGTACTTCTATACAGCAACAATGGTTCGCGAGAGTCGTACAGCGCCAGAGACAGCAGGCGGTTCTTGTCTCAGCTCTTTTCAGCAGTTGCTCAAGCGGCACGTGCCACGTGCTACGTGCTAGAGCCATCACGGGTCATTTTACCTTGTCTTCTGCCTCAGGCGCCGCAACAACCCCGCGCACTCATCAAGTTATGTAGTCTGTATAGAGTTATCGCTCCCTATCGCTTCGAATCACCCCCCCCTCCCCCCGCGCGACATGCAGTCCATCCCCATCTCAGACGCCTTCCGCAGATTGACACACCCCCTGAATGTGTCGGAGATCAAGTCCCTCTGCAACGGCTAGCAGCCGGTTGCCCAGTGGTCTTGGGAAACTCTCTTTTGAGTACACTCCGACCTGAACGGTCTTGCGATCAAGTCCATGCAGTGGCCCCATATTGCCTGGAATCCCTTCAACACTCATCGGTGATGCGGTTGTCATGATACGTTCAGTCAGCATCGGGATTAGCCAAGCAGGAGTTTGCATCGCTTATACAAAAGGATGTCTACTCCTTGTCTTCTTTGGGACCCTCTTTAGTGGCACTTGATCATTCACACTCATGCTATCAAGCCGCGGAAATATTATAGATGGCAATAAAGCTGAGGTTCAACCTGCATAGATGTCTGGTAGGTCTACAGTTGGAGAAGAATGTGATTCCAAGTGTAGTTAGTGCATTGTGCATCAAATAGAGTAGCGCTGGCAAGCACGGAGCACCTCATCACCACAACATCCTCCGCGTAAAATGAGGCTCTACATGCCGTGGATCACATATTATATTGCTCAATCTACTCATGTTTCAACCTAAAACAGAGATAGCATGAACCTTAAAGAAGACTGCCAGTCTAGCTCTATCTCGCAATACCTGTATCTGTACCTGTACAGTGCTTCCAACTCAGCCGGTCTGGAAGTGGTACAGTCCATGAGCGATGGTGTAGCTTGGACGTCGGTTGATAATGTCCGACTGCATCATGATCTACCTCCCTCCAAGGTCAAATGGCAAAAGACTGCTTTCGCCTCAGCCGATAGCTTCAATGGAATCGCGAATTAGAGGTACAATTGTTGAATGATGGACTAGCCGTGATACCTTCTTATAGGCGGATTGCAAGATCCGGTGCTAGAGTCATTTTTAATACTCCGTACCTCCACCAGAGAATCCAATACAACCACTGGCTGCATCTTTGGACATCGTCTAACTTGGATCCACGTGTTTGCCCCCAAAATAGTCTATGGAAAACAATCCGTGTCAATTGGTGTTGTTCCCACTTTGACACGGAATGCCTATAGCCGAGTCTACCATACAATGTATGTAAGATGGATGAGTACTCGGTAAAACACGCGCCATGGATCTATCATGCACCCTGGGCTATCCGGCCTTGCTAGCTCATTTCTCCTTTGCATAAAATGCAGTTGCGTGCCTGTGCTCCGTTTTGGGGGAAGCTAAGGGGAATAAGCCTCCCGCACCTGGAGACCCGGCTTTGGGAGGGTGCCTGCCACCTGGAAAAGTCTAAAGTGGACACCACAAGAACGATGCTGAGCATGAACGGCCACAAAATATTCACAGCAAGAACTTGGACAGCGATCGGCTTATCGACTATCAATTATCGACTATCGACTATCGATAGGTGTGTTCTGGCCGGCCTGTTGGGGCTCCATGTGGAGAGACACAATGAACTCCAAACTTACTCCTCCTCCCAAGTCTTTCCTCCTCGGCATGGAAGGCTCACACCATCTGGCCGAGTCCGATCAGCCATCCAAAGATTGGGGTGGCAACCCAATAGAGACTCCTACCGAACCGGTTTCGATGCCAATGAGATACCGCGACAAGGGTATCACGTGATAAAATCCACGGGACGAACGTTCCGGAGCATTGCGTCATCGAGGACGATCCAATCATGGAGAAGATGTGTCACTCAACGTTCCGAAGAAGATTCCCCCTGAAACCAGCAGAACAGGTTAAGTTGAAATTGGAGCCGGAGATGGAAGGGGAGAGGAGGGGTCCCGGGGGGGTGGTGGTGTGGAAGCATAACCTGCTTGAGCCAATCCTGAGCCCTGGGAAGAGGGCCGTCAATGAGCCATTCATCCATTCATGCCGGCGATTCATGTCACCCTCGACTGCAGTCTCGACCACTGAGTCGACGCAGATCCTGACCGCCCTGCAGCCGGACAAACATAGCGTCCGATTCGTGATTCGTTCGCCTGGGCGGGGGCTCACAAACGGGCCCGTGAGTGGCTGAACTAAGGGAGCCAAGTGGGGCGGACTTTAGTTGGACATCGAAGAAAAAATTCCTGTCGTCGTCACCGTGATCTCATCCATTGCTGCCAAATCAAACCCCCCTTCTTCTTCTGCTGCTGCTGCTGCTGCTGTTTCTGCTTCTGCTTCTGCTTCTGCTTCTGCCACAGTCACTGCAGTCAAGTCAGTCATCAGTCAGTTCTGGCCTGCTTGTTGCACCTCGTAGTACGGAACTAGAAAATTAAGAATTATGTAGAAAGTGGTTGCACTTCTTGTGCCTACCTCCCCCCAACCTATTTTCTACCCCTGGATAGCGAAGCAACATTCTTGTAACCCGAGGCCGAAACAGCGAGCAAGCGCAGGAAAAAGACCTTGTCCTCGGTTGTTAAACTCGCCAGTTTTTCCGCCGTCATTTTCAACGATCACGTCCACCCGGATTCCGCTCGTCACATTGGTTGAAAAGTGTTCCCGAGAGCCCACCATCTCCAAGACCCAAGTTCTTCTGTCCAAGTAAGGGCCAGCCAGCATTCGCCTGCATAATCATCCAGTCAATTTTTTTTTCCCTGGTCTAGTCAACTTTTTTCTTTCTTTTTTTTTCGGTTGGTCCTTTTCCCCTCTGGGTCTCCTTTTCTTCCCGTTGGCTATCAATAATCTATTCCGAAGGCTTTGGAAGAATCTGCCCGGAGACAGATACAGTATTAAAGAAAAAAGAGGGAAGGCCAAAAAAAAAAAGCTTCCAGAAAGAACGGCTGAGTAGATATAGATCCTAGAACCTTGTAAGAAGGATGACCGCAAAAAGCAAGTATCCATTCAAAAAAAGGAGAGAATCTCCGAAAAGAAACAAATTATCTTCATTATTGGTGAGGGTTGCACTTTGGCTGGTACCCGTGGGCTTTTTGTAGTTCAGGGTTGCATGGTTCCGGACGTGACATAATAATAAGACCGAAGAAAAAGAGAAAAAGAGAAAAAGAGAAAACGAGTCGAGTTCATTTTAGGCTAGGCTTAGCTCACGACATTCGACCGCCTCCCCTCCCTCCTTCCCTCCCCTCCCCTAAAACTAAAACTTCTCCGGGCCTGCCTACGTCACAACTTTTCTTTCTTCCCTTTCCACCTTCTACTCATACTACCACCATCAACTACTACTATTATCATCTTACTTACGCCAGTCCAGTGACCCTCCTCGGGTTGAACTACAGTACTTCCCATCCCCAATCTCTATTTCGCGACTGAACAACCGGACGACAACAAGTCGATTGACCAGAGAGTCGGCGTCAGGCCTTGCTTTCTCTTCTTTCTACCTGTATCTGTTATCCTTGTTCTAGTCGTCGCCATCTGTTCTGGTCTTTGCCACTTCATCCGCTCGCTCTTAGCCCTTATTTTTCTTTTATTTTTCTCCCTGCCCGTCCACCACCCACCCCCCCCAAAAGTCACCTGCCGACTCCCTCGCTTTTAATATACCGACCATCACCCCCCTCAGAGACTATGTCTGCGGTCGTCGCTACGACTATTTCGACCAGCTTGCCGAATAATCCTTCGCATCGTAATTCATCGCCAATGGACGCGAAAAAAGCTGGTCTCGAGAGCGAAGGTGAGTGAGTGTGTGTGTGTGTGTCATGATGGGTTTTGATCCTCCGTGTGCGCGTGGATTCGCAGTACCTTTACCTTTTGCCTTATGCAAAATCGCTATTGTACTCTGCATTTCTCCCTATGCTCTCCTTGTTAAGTCTTGGCCTGTTTGGGCTTGGTTGTACGCCACTGTTCCTCAAATGTTTTGTTCAACGCCCTCGCCATCGGGATGACCTCACAATTGGCGTCATCGATGGCTATCGTTATCAGATCCCTTCAGATCCCTACCCGTCCATGCGATGCGAACACGACATCGTCGTTCGCATCCTAACCATCACTTCCATCATCACACCCTTGACCTATTGACTATTGTCGTCGCGCTTTGGGCTTCATCTACCCTCTTGGCTGCATTACTGACGCGATCTTCCTTTGAGCGACAGACTCCCGGGCGCCGTCGTCGGATGTCAAAGATTCCAAGCCTGATGTAGACTCTCAAACCTCGTTGGCGCCTCCTCCGCGACCAGCCATAACAAGTGCTACTGATACCCCCGACTACTTCAACTCGGTTCATAATCCCTTTTCTCTGGAACCCAACCCCTTCGAGCAGTCCTTCAGTGGCGGTGGTTCTGGCGAAACGCCAGGCAAATCCATACTTCCTCCTGTTGCAGCTCTCACTTCTCCTGCCCTGCCTGGCACTACCTCAGCCGGCGGTGGCTACGGCTGGTCCAACTCGTTGCGCTCTGGGCCTCTTAGCCCAGCCATGCTCGCAGGCCCGACCGGCTCCAATGATTACTTCGATAGTATTGGCCGGGGATTCCCTACTCCCAACGAATCCTCTCTCCGTACTGGCCTGACTCCTGGTGGAGGAGGCTCTATGTTCCCTGCCCCTAGTCCAAACTCCCAGGCACTCCTTCAACAGCTGCAAAGTGGTGGTGCGACGCCATCCACCATCGAGTTCCACCGGACTGCTTTGAATGCTGCGAAGAAGAATAGCCTTAATGGTCCCACGTCTAATCCAGCCGTTGAATCCGATCCAGCATCACAGTCCTCCAACATGGATATCAAACCAAGCCAGCCAGCAGGAGCCGACCCCTTCGGTCACCATGATGCTGCTGATGCAGCTAATGGACTGTTCATGCTAGCCAAGGGTGGACAGGCAAACCCTAACCAATTCCCTGTTGCCAACCAGACATCAATTCAGCCACAGAACATTCAGTCCAATGAACAATCCCTCGACGCTGGCGCTGATAGACGTAACTCGCAGAACATTAATGGGTTGGCCCACGGCGGCCGGTCGTCAAGTGATGCCTCTGATATGCAAGGCGAACAAACGAAGCCTGCTGCCAAGGGTAAGGCTAAGAAGGCCACTGCTGCCAAGACTGGTGCCGCCGCGAACAACAGGCGCAAGGCTGAGGATGCACCCAAGGGTGCCAACAAGAAGGTTAAAACGAGTAACAGTGGTAGTACCGAACCTCCTTCGGATATCGGTGACTCGGATGATGATGAGGACGATATGAAGAAGAAGGGCACGGCAGACACGAAGAAGATGACTGATGAAGAGAAGAGAAAGAACTTCCTGGAAAGGAACAGGTGAGCTAAATTTTCTGGTACCTGTCGTCCAATTCAAACGGTTATGCTAACAGGCAGCGTCAGGGTCGCGGCACTGAAATGTCGTCAACGAAAGAAGCAGTGGCTCGCTAACCTTCAGGCTAAGGTTGAACTATTCACCTCTGAGAACGATGCACTTACCGCCACTGTTACTCAGTTGCGGGAAGAGATTGTCAACCTCAAGACTTTATTGCTTGCGCATAAAGACTGCCCAGTCTCGCAAGCCCAGGGTCTCGGCCCTCTAATGATGAACGGCATGGCGACCGGATTTGATGCTCACCCCTATAATATCCCAAGCCAAATGGGAATGCAAGGGCCGCCAATTCCTGCCCAGGGGCTCCGACGATAATGAGCCGTGTACACGATTGATTTTATTCTATGATTAGCTCTTGGACCGCACTGAACATTGCAGAGAGCAGATGCCATATCGGTGCCAGTCCAGCCCGGCTTCTTTTTAAGCTCTGTACTGTTGGCTATTTGTGTCCCATGCTTCTGTTTTATTCTTACATTTTTTCTTTCTTTCTTTCATTTACTTCTACCTTTGCTTTGCTTTAAAAAGGGGTTTCTTCGGGGTTACCGGGGGCTTTTCTTTTTCATGGGTTAACGTTAGGGTTGTTTGGGATTGCTGCCTTTTTTAGCGTGTCTTACTAGGGGACAATAACATGGATGCTATTTCTATTTGAGTCATCTACTTCTCGACAGACCACGCATTGGGTTGAATTGACTTGAATTGACTTGAATTGGCTTGACTTGATTCCTGGTTCTCTCCTCGCCAACTACTCTCAAAGCAGCCAGCCATCTGCCTCCTGAGTTTGTACTTTTTCGTAGTGTAGTTCTTAGTCGCTCTGCTGGCTACCTGCCAAGTGTAGGTCTAGCTGTACGATGAATGTGCTCTTGTAGCATGTCAGAAAGCGTACCGACTGACTATGAAAAACCCAATTTCATGACGAGTCGATGAATGAGTATTCCGTAACTTATAGACTAGGTATACAGACGGGCAGTGAGGGAGGGCTTGGCGGGACGCGGCAAACCACTCAAACCGGACAAACACAAACACACTCACCCCCATCGGGGATGTTCCTTCTACGCGGTCGAGGCGGCCTTCCAATGCGCTTTCCTCAACACCTCCAAGTTTCCTGGATTTCATGCGATAATTTCATGAAGCGGCTGCCTACACTGGTGTAGGTCGCCATGCGTTGCTCGACAACGATCCAGTAAAGTGGAACCGTGCAGCATATACCTCCCACCTCTCGCCGCGTCCTCAGGCCGATCCCCAACTATTTCCCGAGTGAATAGTTTATTGGACTATTGCATTTATACCTGTGGGCTCTAACAGACCAGAGATAGCCACGACACATAGCAGGCAAACCCTGAACATACCACCAACCATGTCCGCCCGCCAACCCGCACGACCACGGCGCATCGATGACGCGCTCTCGCAGCTCGTCGACTCCCTCACCCCTCCGTTGTCGCATTCGGATCTTCGGGGCGAGTACGAAGGCGATGCGGAGGAGGCCTTGGCCGCAGCTGAAGAAAGACGACACCAAACATACCTCGAGCGCTCGTGGATCATCATCAATTCCTACACCACCACCTCGAGCGACCTAGCATCACCGTCCGGTCCCACGACGTATGGCGTCAATCGCCGCGGAAGCTTAGCCGGCGGAGAGAATGTCAACAACGCGGTGGACCTCATAAAGCGGAAACTTCTGCGTGAGAACGACAGCCCCGAACAAGCAGTTCGATTTTCCAATCTCTACTCGCGCCTGTTGACCCAGCCGGTCCTGTCTCAAAAGTGGGCGATCCTCTATCTCCTCTATCGACTCTCGAGCACGGATGACGATGAAGAGCAGGGGTTTGAGGGTGGTAGCCGAAGTCCTCAGTTCGAGCCGGTGCACCTGCAAAGTCCCCTGTTCAAGAACCAGAGGATAAACCCGGGCCGCGGGCCCAGGGTATCGGAAATCTCAGACGAGGACGGGCCTGCTGCCAGCTCTTCGGCATCGCAGATCCCCGCGCGAATCGAACGGCAAGCTGCGCTGAGACGGCAGCAAGAGATGGGACCGGAGAGGGAGCCGGAGTTGGAGCCGGAGACCTCTGCACCAGCGGCAAGATCCCGAGATGTGCGGGTCACGCGTAGTCGTGCCAATACAGGGGTACGAGATCATCCTCTCGAAGAGCCAAAAGGTGTGCAGCCGGAGGCGGACTCGGAACAGCGACCAAAATCAGATGCACCCCAGGAACCGCGACTGCTCCGTGACCTTCCTTTCAATCTGCAAGGGTTATCTTCCTCGAACCTACAATTCGAATCCTCGACAATTTTGAATCTGCCTCCCTCTGTGCCGGTACCTATAATATCTCTGCTAAATTCCCTTGCCGAGCCGTGCCTGTTGTATCGCGGCGTATCGGCTTTCGTGGGGAGTCCGACAAGTGGACTCTTGAGTCAAAGCCTCCAAGCAGCCCTTGCCAACAAGCTTCAATCCTATCTGGGTCTAGTCGCTACCTTGGAAGGAGAGATTCGAAGGGCCTTGGCTTCACCACCAGACCCTAACAATCCCAGAAGCACGGCCGCCAGCGGCGTCACGCTAAAGCGATGTGTTGTCTGGACAAGGGACGCGACGATGGCGCTACGGTTGATGAACCTGATTGTCGAGGAGGCACAGCGTAAGTACTATGGCTTTCTTCATGATAGTATACCTTTCTGATATCTTGCTCGTAGACAAGAAAGGCGGCCAACTGATTTCGCTGATCCACGGTCTCTCAACCTCTCACGGAGACCCTTTCGTACGTGACTTCGCGGAAAAGCTTCTCGCCCATGTGACTCGACCCTTCTACGACATGCTGCGGTCATGGATCTATGACGGTGAGCTTTCGGATCCATACAAAGAATTTTTTGTGGTCGAGCCGGAATCCAGACCCAATGTAGATCCGCGTCGAACCGCGACTTCTGTCTGGGACGATAAGTACACGCTTGCCGAAGAAATGGTGCCATCCATCATAACACAGGACTTTGCACAGAAAATCCTCCGGATCGGCAAGTCTTTGAATTTCATCCGCTACGACTGTGGAAACTCTGGATGGGTGGAAGAATACTCTAAAGAAACCTCGAAAGAACTGCATTATGGCGATACGGCTGGTCTCGAGGCATCAATTGACGAAGCCCACAAGACAACTATGGCGCGGTTGATCTACCTCATGGACGACAAATTCAAGCTCTTTGAGCACCTTCAAGCGCTGAAGAAGTACATGCTTTTGGGCCAGGGTGATTTCATTGCCCTGTTGATGGAATCGCTGGCGTCCAATCTTGATCGTCCAGCCCACTCGCAATACAGACATACGTTGACTGCGCAACTGGAACATGCAATCCGTGCTTCCAACGCGCAGTACGACTCCCCAGACGTGCTCAGACGGCTGGATGCTCGGATGTTAGAGTACAGCCATGGCGAGAGCGGCTGGGACTGTTTCACACTCGAATACAAGGTTGATGCTCCAGTCGACGTGGTCATAACACAATATGCATCGAGCCAGTACTTGAAAGTGTTCAACTTTCTGTGGCGTATAAAGCGCGTCGAGTTCGCCCTGGGAAGCACCTGGCGTCGATGCATGACAGGTGCTCGCGGCGTGCTAGGTAGCGTCAACGACAAGGTCGGCTCAGACTGGAAGAGAGCACGATGTGTCATCGCCGAGATGATCCATTTTGTCTGTCAGCTTCAGTTTTATATCCTCTTCGAAGTCATCGAGGCCAGCTGGGATAAACTACAAGCATCTATCTCGAAGCCCGGCTGCACACTGGACGACCTGATTGGGGCCCACAAGGAATATCTCGAATCCATCACGCGCAAGGGCCTCTTGGGCTCCCCTGCTGTACCCAAGACCACCACCACCACTCCCCAGGAAGAGGACTTCCTCAGCCAATTGCACTACATCCTCAAGGTCATGTTGGCCTACAAAGACGCCGTGGACGGCCTCTACTCCTTCTCCGTCGCCGAGTTCACGCGTAGACAAGAACTGAGCGCGAAAATCGAGACACGCACCGCCCAAGGCCGGTGGGGCCTCACTGACAGCGACGTCCTTTCATCCTCCTCCAGACGAACCCGGGCCCATAAAGATTCAGTCTCATCCATGTCCCCATCTCTGGCAGCATTCACTCCCAACCTAGGCGGTGACGACATCGGCACTCCGTCATCGCTCGCCGACCACGGAGACCTCTCCGCAGACGATCAGATGCTCGCATCCCTACAGGCCCGTCTCCGCGACCTTTCCGCCGAGTTTCGATCCCGGCTCAACGTCTTTCTGGGCGACCTCGCATACCAGCCGGACGTGGACATGCGCTTTCTTGGCGTCGTTATGAATTTCAACGACGTCTATCAACCGGCCCGGAAACGCCGAAGCACCGGGTCCGGGAGCTCGCGTGACAAACACAGGGCGAGGCGAAGGGCGGCCGCCGCCAATGAAGCTGCTACTTCTGCGACTACTTCCACCATCGTGATGGAAGAAAGCAGACCGGCATCTGCGTCCAAGGAACCGACAGCCCGACGGGAGAGGAAAGATCCGAGAACGAGCGGCAATGGGAATGAGAGCGGGAGTGCCAGCTGACCCTGTGCCTCTCTTCTATTCATTTTTGTCTTCTGCATTGAAATTGGTTGCGATCGACCTTCAAGGGCTAGCTAGATTTGCCGGCGGCTGGGGGTGTTCTCTCGGGGTATTGTGCGTTTTCATCTTGGGATCATGGGTTCATCGTGTTCAGTGGTTGATATCATTGGGGGGTTTCGGATTTTGTTTTTGTTTTTATGAACTGGGTTGGATGACAGTGACACGGCAGCAGCAAACAAAAGCTTGTACATGTACATACACAGGTCCGTTGTAAGCTTAATGATGATGACGACGATGATTGCGGTGTTCGAAGAGACAGACAATTATCTTCAGCATAAACTGAGATCAATCATCGAGATCAATCGCTGTACTGTACAACACAGTACGACACAATACCAACAACCAGCAGCATTGGGAAGCAACCCTTATCATGGAATATAACCAACAACAAGCCTTCTCGTTTACTGGAGCCATTCCATCCTGGCCTGTAGCCACGAAGCCTACCACCTAAGTTACCTAATAGCCCGCCTGGGGGGATGGGGTGGGCAGAACAACCCCATCGGAGTAACTACGCAGTCCTCACGTGAAAATTTCCCTCCGTTCCCCGTTCCACCGCCCCCCCCCCCAAAAAAGTTTCCAACGCAAACAACAACTTCAGTTCACCCTCAACGATCCCAACGTGCCCACCTCCAATTTTGGGTGGTGATTTGCTTTGATCGGAATCCTGAGGGCTACGCGACACGGATCCTTGTGTTGGGGAAGGTCGAAATTACGGGACTTTATTGTTGATACTGGTTGCGGCTTTCGGTACTCGTTTCAAGGAGTTGAAGATTGAGGGTTAGGATTAGGATTGGGACGGAAGATCGCTATGGCTGCTTCTGAATTGGCTGTTGCGAAGAAGAAGGAGGGGAAGGTTAAGGTTAAGGTCAAGGAGGTGAAGGATAAGGAAGAGAAGAAGGAGAAGAAGAAGGACAAGAAATCCAAGAAGGAAAAGGAGGACCAGGACGAAAAGGTCGAGGAGGACAAGGACGAAAAGAAGAAGACGAAGAAGAAGGAGAAGAAGTCCACGAAAACCAGCACGGACGAGCGCGACGACTCCGTGAGCGAAAAAGCCGACACGAAAAAGCAATCGAAGAAACGACGTCTGGAAGAAGATGATGATGATGATGACGACGACAACGAGGCGAATGCTACCACCAAGGGCAAATCGGCTGCGGATGAAGAGCGGAAGCAGAAGAAAAAGAAGAAGAGGGTCTCGTTCTCGGCGGACGTGAAGCTGGAGGATGGCAGCGGAGACTCCGAGGCGGAGGATATGGAGGTCGATGGATCGGAACAACAGCAGCAGCAGCAACAGCAATTAGAGGTAAACGGCGCTGCGGAGGAGATGGATTATGAAGGAGATGGGGAGGAGAAGAAGAAAAAGAAGAAGGAAAAGAAGAAGAAGAACAAGGACAAGGATCACAAGTCCGCCGCTACGGCTGCTGACGTCAAAATCCACGAGACGCCCATCCTCTCCTACCTCAGTCTCTATCACAACCACCGGTCGGCGTGGAAGTTTCAAAAGAACCGCGAGACGCACTTGTTCAAGCATGTGCTGTCGCTGGAGCAGGTCCCCGCGCGGTATAATGCGGCGCTCTTGGCGTATCTGCAGGGGTTGAAGAGTGAGGGTGCCAAGCTGCGCTTGAAGGAGATTGCGGAAGAGGTTGTCAAGGCCGACGTGGAGGTGGAGGAGCAGGAAGAGGAGGAAAAGAAGAAGAAGAAGTCGACGACGCAAGCTGAGGAGGATAAGACGGATGGAGCCGAGGAGAGCACTGATGTGGCTCCTGAGCCCAGTCACAAAAAGGCCGTCGCCTCGTTCCGGACGCTTCTGTCGGAGGGCAAAGAGAACCTTGAAGGTCTGGAAGGCACCGAGGGCCTTGACGCTACGCAACTACAGAGGCTGCAGAAGAGACAGCGCGCTGAGCTCATCCTCTGGGCTGTCACCGGTGCCCTGTTCAATCTCGAGAAGCCCAAGCCTCCCCCACGGATGGCGAAGAAGAACCAAACGCCGGCCAAAAAGAAGAAGAAGAACAGAACCGCTATCATCGAGATCTCCAGCAGCAGCGAGAGCGACAGTGACAGCGACAGCGACAGCGACAGCGACAGCGATGACAAGAACAAGACCAAGAGTCCGGCCAAGAAAGATTCATCCTCGGACGAGAGCAGCAGCAGCAGCAGCAGTGATAGCGATAGTGATTAGTCACTTGATGCTATATGTTGTTCTTCAACCTAAATTGTGCAGACTGGTCTCTGTGCTTTGCTACTTCATGTGCATGACAACTCATCTCCGTCCACATATGGTGGTTATCATAGCTCTATAATTTTGAGCTCAAAAGTTCTAGATACCTGGTTCAACCATACAAAAGCGGTCTTTTGTCGGATCTACGGTGTTGTGTTTCTTCTTTTGTGATGTATTGTTAGTATAGACTTTCCGTATATACCTAGAAGCCTTCATATGAAAGAGCTGAAATCCTTGATATCAAGCCTGTATATTTCGAAAGCATTATAGTATCGCTGCTGTGTGGTTGCTGGGAGGAAATGTACTGTACTTTGTATTGGTGGCAGAGCAAATTGACAGAGACGGGGAAGGCGGTGACTGGAGCTTACTCAACGGAGCCCCGAAGCTTAGAGCTTCGGCCAGGCACCCTCTGGCACGCGTCCTCTGCCTCCATCCTTATCCTCCCTCCCCCAAATCCTTCCCCATTACACATCTTAATCTCTCTTTGCTCTCAGTCCTTCCTCTCGATCGGCTCTGAATATCTAATCTGTGAGATACATATACCGCCGCAGCCATGTCTGGTAAAAACAGATCCCTTCCGATTGTGCTGGCTCGAATGACTTCATCGATTGACTGACAGCTTTTGTGAACAGGAAGCGCCTACGATCGACACATTACCATCTTCTCAGACCAGGGTCGTCTGTATCAAGTTGGTAAGTCTATCGCCCGTTATGAACCCTCTCCCTCCGGCCCACCCCGATGGCGCTCCAACGGTCACCGAGAACACTTGACTTACCATCGACCTCCATCGGCGCTTAGAATATGCCTTCAAGGCCATCACCTCCGCAAACATCACCTCATTAGGTGTCAGGGGGAAGAACTGCGCCGTGGTTCTGTCCCAGAAGAAGGTCGCTGTAAGTTTCCATGGTGGGGCTGAGGACGCAGGCACAGCATGGCCTGACATATATCCTAGGATAAATTGATCGACCCCTCCTCCGTTTCGCATATCTTCAAGCTTTCTCCTTCCGTCGGATGTGTTATGACCGGTTCCATCGCCGATGCCAGAGCGAGTGTTGACCGTGCCCGTGGAGAGGCGGCCGAGTTCCGATACAAGTACGGCTACGAGATGCCCTGTGATGTCCTTGCCAAGCGCCTTGCGAATATCAACCAGGTCTACACGCAACGGGTTCGTGCTTTGATCGTCTCACTCTGGGGTTGTGGGAGCGACGTTTACTGATACCAATCATCTGCTTAGGCTTACATGCGCCCGCTCGGCGTCGCCATGACCCTGATTTCCGTGGACGATGAGAAGGGGCCCCAACTCTACAAGTGCGACCCGGCAGGATACTATGTCGGGTACAAGGCGACCGCATCCGGCCCCAAGCAGCAGGAGGCGCTGAATCACCTGGAGAAGAAGCTGAAGAACAAGGACTATGCCGAGGGCAGCTGGGAGGAGGTGGTCGAGCTGGGCATCACCGCCTTGAGCAATGTGTTGAGCGTCGACTTCAAGAAACATGAGCTAGAGATCGGCATTGTCGGAGGGCCTCGGGCTGATGGCAAAGAGGGCACAGATCCAAGCTTCCGTGCCTTGACAGAGGACGAGATTGACGAGCGGCTGCAGGCCATTAGCGAGAAGGACTAATTGAGTTGAGGAAGCAAGCATCCATTGTTGTTAGAGACAAACGATCCATGAATACTACTTTTTCTGACGCTACTATTGGAACTTGATTCGCCAACCCCCGATCTGGTAGATGTGTTCCCTAGGTCTTTCCTCTTGACTTGTCAACTGCCGATCGATCTCAAAACTTGGACAGACGTCCGTGCAGGCGCTTACTCGGAGTCGGAGATGGCGAAGCTAGAGGTCCCGCTTGTTTCTTCAGACGGTGGCGATTTGGAAGCAGGGGTCAGAGTCAATGTGATAGACCTGAGGCCCTTGCTGCAAGATGACAGGCTTGATGAAATATTGGAGAGCAGACGACAGCGGCCCCGCTGCGGGAGTTGATTACAAGTAGCATCACACTGGGGCATGGAGTAAGAATCGCGTAGAATGCAGGTGTTGTCGGTGAGGTGGCCGACGCTCGAGCTTACATGAAAGCTCTTGTGCCTTGGATGTTTTTGCCACCGAGAACGATATCTGCATGGGGAGTCGGAGAATCTACTCGTATTATGTTTGAATTGAATTGAAGATAGTCGAGTTGAGACCGAGCCTGAGGCTGGTGCGTGGGTTTGCTTTTCCTCTTTCAGCTCTTGCCCGGTGTGTGTGGCTGAGCTGGAGATGTGGCTTGCCCATTGAGTTTTCACTCTCTGTGTTTCTTCATCTATCACGCACATTTGTTGTCTGGCAAGTCTATTATTATTGTTGTCACTATTCCGCATAATGCATACATGTTGACTCCGTCACCGGCGCCAACGGTTGTCGGTGGCTGATATCTTGTCCTGACTCCTGAGCCATTGCTGCTCCAGCCACTTATCCCATCTTAACCATATCTCCGAGTGTGATGACTCCGACTGGGTCTGTACTACTGGAAGTGTGGCGTAAGGAAGCGAGGACTCTCCAGCTGGAGTCTCTTTCACCACCGTTTCACTAGTCAACATGCCACGATGACGCTTTCCCCACCGAGTCAGTGTATCTGTGCACATTGCACAAATCTGACTGCACGGGTTGTTACCGAGATCTAGTGTCTTGTCTACCTAAACCCGGTAACCCATTGTGATATTATTGTGTTTCTGTCATACCAAATTCTTCGCTCGGCCACAACAAACAAGTGGGGTTGAATCCGGGTTCTGTAGTATTCTTTTCTACAATTCCATCTTCTTTTTTTCAAAATCAGGTTCCATCTAGTCAATTGGGCCTCAATTCAAATTCCACTATCGGTTTTTCATGTGGATATTGCCGAATTCTTGCTTCTGGGTCGGATGTATCCTTTCTTTTTCTTTCCCCCCCAAGTACGGAGTATGCATGATCTTATGCAAGCCCCATCAGCCTAGGGCTGGGTTCCTGTTCCAGGGCCAGCTGCATAGTCCCCACGCTTAGACTAGATATCAGCCCTCGCTCCAAATCGGAGACCCAGACATTGCAAGCGCTTCCGACACATGGCTCTCATGGGCTTGGCTCCTGCCGTTGCTCCACTATGGCTGTTGTTCTCCAGCTGCCATCTCTCGCCGCGATGTCTTGTCCTTGCTCCATCGGCTTCCCAATGCGTGCAGCCAGCCACGGTGGGTGGATGACGATGATGATGATCCCCTTTCCAGCGCAATCCCCCCCCCCATTGCGACGTTGAAACCATGGTGAGGATAATAAGCTTAAAAGGATATCGCCTCCTCAGCCATGGGACTGTAGAATCTGAAACCAACGCTCTTCTTCCTTTGGGCCCAACGACCTCTTCGCCTCGAGCTCTCAGTCAATTGGCTTGCTCCTTTCTTTTGGCCTTCTTCCTGCCAGGCGTCCAACTGTGGCCGAATCCACTTGGTTCCTTTAGTCTTTTGAAGATCCAATCGTTTGCCATTCCTTGGCTACTATATCGCAAACACCACTACTGCCATGGCTGACGGACGTAAGTGTTGCCATCGTTCCATGCGTGGAAGGAATAACACCATTCAAGAAGAAGAGAGGCTAATCGATCCGGGTGTCGCAGTCAACCAAGCTCGCGCCCTCCGAGTGGCAGAGCTCATCAACGACTACCGGACTCTTCTCATGCACATCTCCCAACAGAATGTCCAAGCCCCGGCAGATGAGTTCAACGAAGAGGGGTATAAAGTGATCCGAGACGGTCTGGCTGCTGCGCAGGCTTTGATGTCATCCAACTACAACCCTTGCGCGACGCCAGCCCATGCCGGCAACGTCGAAGTCGAGAAGGCGGAATTGCGGAGGTATGTCGATATACCACTTCTCCCCTTCACTCAGTAGCCTAGCCAAGACTCTAACCTCACTTTCAGGGTCATCCTTGACGCTAGCGCCAGACGATTCCAGGCGCATCGCATCTACTTGAAGGTCGCGGCCGCCAGACGATGGGTCATCAACCGCCAAAACATTCTGCGTGGACAGCGGCCGGGACCGCAGCACGCGGCTCAGTTGAAGAACGCCAGCAACACGTTCCATGCGGTGAGTTTCCTTTCTCAATCTTGATGCAATTCAGGGTAGTATCCAGTCTGACTGACCATCACTGCGCACAGGAACTGGCTCAAGTGACCGAACAGCACGTGGTGGCTGATCTGCGGGCAGCCGACACGCGGGCAGGTCATTGGCTCAACGACGACCCTTCTCTGCCTACAATCCTTCAATGGATTCGGTCTCACCCGTGAGATTTTTTGTGTGTCAAAGCCTGCGATAGAGCAGCGAGTCTGAGTGGTGTATGGATACGATGATGCCGTTATTCACGGGACTACAGTACCGGTTGGAAAGCGTCCACTGGATGCATGTTTCTCTATTGTTGCTCGGCGCTGGTCGCTTGCAATCGATGGGTTTCGAGAAGGAAAAGCTGTTATGTGTGGAATGTTTGGGCTTACCTTTTTCTTGGGTTTCAGTTTCTTCTTGTCGTGTTTTGAGTATGTGTTGACGGTTTATGATATCCCTGGATGTGATGCTTTACGCTAGACGTGAATTGGTTGGATGGATGTGTTTTCAACTCGATGTACAGTCCTGTACTCCGACTATATTGCATAACTTCTTTTCTGTTTCTATTCTTTCTGCTTGGAGTATATCTACCTACTCAAAGATCGAGTGTGACTCGTCTCGCTCTTCCCAGAACAAGCTGGTGAATATGCTGAGCCCACTGTATAGTGAGTGCCCTACATAGTTAGATGGTGACATCGTTTACTGTACATTTTCCAACCGACGGCAAACTCCGTTTCGCTTCAGTGGGTCCGGCGGTTAGAAGTGGAGACGGATAGGGAAACACCATGTCTGACTGTCTTTTTGTTCAGGAATGGGACACTAGACAACACCCGCAGCGGATGTACAGTACAGTGCAACTCAAGCGGCATCATGAGAGCATCAAATCCATCATCTACCGTGGGTACCTTCGTACCTGGTACAGTCCAGAGCCTGAAACAAGCAACCGGCCAAATATCTTGCTAATGGCTAATCCGATTTGCGGATTCAAACGATTCCGATCGGAAAAAATCTCTGGGCGAACATCAGAGCTGGACAGTGGGGTTGGTGTTTTACCATTGACTGTATGTACAGTAGCTTACTATCTGTAAAGCTCCTCTGCCGGAGATACCGAACGTGCATTTGAACCGTGGAGTCGGGGATTACCTTAAGACGAACAGCCCAGCTGAATACTTACCTGATCCTTGAGTCAGAGTCGACAACCCCCACAAGAAAAAAAGGGCTGAGAATGGGGTGGACTCACCCGTGTGCCGCTGCCGTTTTCTATGAGTACAAAGATTTTTTTTTTAGCACGGGAATGATGCATGGTGCCTTGCGCTTTATTTTTGTTTTTTCACTCTGATTGGATTTTGGGAGGGGATGCCAGCCGATGTGTGGCCGTGCAAATTGAGAAAAATACCTAGTAGATTACTGGATGGATGCTGATTGCTGAAGGAATGGAGGTTAATATTGATGTGGCCAATTGGATGGGGTTGGGTGGGGGTTGATGGACACTGCTGGGCTGCGGGCAGGTGGAGGGTTCAGCTGAGGTCGTACGGAGTACTTGTGAGGGAGATATCCACTTATTCCCGTCCCGTTGCTTTGCTTGTTGTCATGTTGTGTGTATCCATGATGTAGCGGGTTACAGCTGGGATGGAGTTGGGGCTGTCGGTCGGTGGGAATTTGATGGGGCAGAATTTGCGAAGACGTCGTCAGGGCGTTAGTGTTTTCTTGATATGGGAGTAACTTATCTGATATGAGTACAGTACTACCAGGTCAGGTTGGGATGGCCACGAGGGTAGGTAGGGTGTGGCAGCCACGTTGTTTCCTGTCCATGGTCACTGGTCACTGGTCACTGTTTCTGTACTCAACCATTCTGCCGTCGGTGGTTTCTTCCTGATGCCCTCATGCAAGGAACCCCTGTTGTTTGCCTCAATGCATGATGCACCTTGCACTGCTGCTGAGATCGATCTCTTCATTCCCAGATATGCATCATGCACAGGGGGCTGGTCTCTTTATATTCAACCGGGAGGCGAAAAGTGCGCGCGCGTCGGGGGACGGACTACGTCTTTGAGCAGGTACGAATATCTCTCTTTCTGAAGTTGGTTTGTGAGTGGCGACTCGCGAGGGATGTTACCTTTATTGGGGTTTAGCCACTGTGTTTCTACTCTGGTCACTGGGATACAGAATGCTAGTGTGTCACCGGATTAGTCCTCGAAGTTGAATGACCCTCGATTTTGGGGCTTTGAATGGGGAAGTCTGTTTGTCTGGGAGCCAAATACCAGATTTGGCATTCATGTGGCCCTTCGTTCACGCCGGTTCGTCGCCGTCGGTGTATCGAATGGGATATATCCAAGTCCCAATGTGGATGTCGAAGGCAGGCGGAGGACGGATCGAGTGCTGCCCTCGCTTCGTGAGCATGCCACGAATACACTCTCACTGGTAATTCCTATCAAATCATACGGTATCGACTCAGTCACTGAAGAGAAGTGAGGTATGGACTTGGGATCGAATCAACAGTTCCAAGAATAGAAGTGTCTAAGTTATCCGGCGGCGGTGCAACTGTGGCTAGGCAGGTGGAGCAAAGTGGCTTGCCTGCGCCGGCTTATCTAAATGCGCTGGCGGATCGGGTGACGACATGCATCCAAAGCTAACTAAAAGTAAACAAAATAATAAGCATGAATGTGCAGGGCCCATCGATAAGCTCTTCTTGGAAACGCCCGCAATAAATGAATCAGATCCTCAAACTAGCCTCTTCAAGGGTCCTTATGCCTCGATCATGCTGTATAATTGTGGCTGCAGTCATGCCCTGTATGACTCTGCCATGCTGCCAACTGTGACGGATGCACTGTCTGAAGAAGATGCGATACTGCAATCCCCGCGTGGTCGACTTTGAGTTTCGCACCCCGGGTTGTTATCACGAATAAGCGTATCTAGCCGAGGGCCACATTTCTTCACAGAGTCTCAAGTGATGGGGATCAAAAGGGCTATCTGTCATGCGAACCCGGACCTAGGCTCGATCCTCGAGGGGAAGACTCCCAATCTGATAGTCCGAGGCTCGGGGTCTTGAGCCGCCTGCCCAAGTATGGACCGAATGAGCTGAGCATCATGATCCAGACGCATGACGGCGATCAAAGAAATTCGAAGTCGTTGAGGGGCGAATCATGGGAGTCAAGGTTGCAGCATCTCATCACCGGGGACGGGGCAGGTAGCATTAAGGTAGTGGAATCTCAAACCTAGAATCCTTTAGTGAACCTTGGGATGGTCTTCGGGCTTGTGTGGCATGACTTATTGGTAGGTAGGGTAGGTAGAGTAAAGTAAGTTGGTTACTAACCGTCCAACTAAACCGCCAGGCCAAGGCGTCCGTAGCGGGATCATCCCCGGAGGCTGCCAAAACTCACGATCCACCAACGTCACACTTGATGGTAGAACGCCTTAACTGCTTACCCCCGGGAGGCTACAACAAACGACCATCTCGTTGGCAAGGCTACAGTTCAAGCACTATTTAAGAGTTGAACTCGTCCTGCAGATTATGGCCTTCTCTGCATCCATTCATTTCCTGGTTATCCTAACCATTGTGCTCATCTTCTCGTTCCGATACTTCGGAGACAATCAGACAGTGCCTCCGCTGCATCATAACTCCACAAGTACTCTTGTAAATACTACAACACCAGCTATGTCTTCCGGGCTCAAGTCGGTGGCGTACTTCGTCAACTGGGTAAGATTGCTGCCTATCGCAATGTGGGATGTACTCTCGATGCTGATCCATCCTCAGGCGATCTACGGACGCAACTACAATCCCCAGGATATCCCCGCGGACAAGTTGACCCATATACTCTATGCCTTTGCCAATGTTCGCCCTGAAACTGGTGAAGTGTGAGTTGCCAACTGCTATTTATCTTTCCCACTTCTTCCGCTACAACAACCCCGCTGACGTATGCATCATCAGCTACCTTTCCGACACCTGGTCGGACATTGAGAAGCACTATCCCACTGATTCGTGGAACGACGTCGGCACCAACGTCTATGGTTGCGTCAAGCAGCTGTTCCTGCTCAAGCAGCAGAACCGCAAGCTGAAGGTGCTATTGTCTATTGGTGGATGGACTTATTCGTCCAACTTCCCTGGCGCAGCCGCCTCGGATGCTAACCGGGCCAACTTCGCTACGACGGCCACCAAGTTGGTCACAGACCTTGGATATGATGGTATTTAGCCTCGTCTTCCTGGCTGCATGTCAGAGTTACTAATGATATATTTTGCAGGTATCGATATTGATTGGGAGTACCCAAAAGGTTGGTTTCGATGCTCCTGATACGTGCAAGGTATATTGCTGATACGCAGGCAGACGATACCGAGGCCCAGAACATGGTCTTGCTCCTTCAGAAATGTCGTGAGGTTAGTGCATCGCTTCAAGGGACGAATGATGTATGCTAACTGCCCTAGACGCTGGACAACGCCGCGGGTGCCAGCAGAAAGTTCTACCTGACCATCGCTTGCCCTGCTGGTAAGTACTAACCATAACCATAGTCCCGCGAGGAAGGTAGTCTCCGATATCTGACTCTCTACAGGACCGGACAACTACACCAAGCTCAAGTTGTCCCAGATGACGCCGTATCTGGATTTCTACAACCTGATGGCGTACGACTACGCCGGGAGCTGGAACACCGTCGCGGGCCACCAAGCCAATATATATCCTTCCTCTGACAAGCCCGCGTCGACCCCCTTCTCGACCAATGAGGCCGTGAACTATTACATCCAAGTCGGCGGCGTGCCATCGGCAAAATTGGTGCTGGGAATGCCCCTATATGGGCGTGCCTTCACCAACACCGACGGACCCGGCACCGCCTTCTCAGGCGTCGGAGGAGGAAGCTGGGAGAATGGTGTCTGGGACTACAAAGCGCTGCCCCAGGCTGGTGCCACTGAGAACGTGGATGCCAGCATTGGCGCGTCCTGGAGCTACAGTTCCAGCGCCCGCACCATGATCTCGTATGACACCGTCGCCGTGGGAGAGCAGAAGTTGAACTATATCAACCAGAAGCAGCTCGGCGGTGGGATGTGGTGGGAGCTTAGCGGGGATAAGGGAGGTAAGACTGCGAACAAGTCGGACGGCAGCTTGATCGGAACGTTTGTCGAAGGGGTGGGCGGGCTCTCGTCCTTGGACCAGTCGCAGAACGCACTGTCCTACCCGGAGAGCAAGTACGACAACCTGAAGAAAGGCTTTCAGTGAAGCCCCGTACAGATGCACCACATGACAAGGACATAGTGTGGTTTGACTTGCTTTTGGACATATACACGAGTTCTACATAGTTTTAAGGATTACATAGCTTAGATGGGTTTTTTTCGAATTTTTTTTTCAATTTGATTTGTCTCAAGATCACTATGGAACGATCAGAACGCACACGTCCCATACACCTCACATATCCAACCCTGCAACCTTCACTGTCCTAGTTCCACGGGGAAAATCGAAGCACATCCAGCTGGAGCGAAAGATAGGCGACTTGTCAAAGGCCAATTTACTTGGACTCGTCGAAGACGTAGGTGAGGTGGCACTTGCCGCAGTACTGGCGGTTGTGCATGGCAGCCATGAAGATACCGGCACCGCACTGTGTTGGAGGAACGAAATTAGTCAACTGGGTCGAAGAGTGATAGGAAAAAATGGGCAAACATACCTCGGGGGAGGGGCACTCGCGGCGAAGACGCTCGATCTTGCCATCACCGTCGACCTTGTAGTACTTGAGGACGGCGAGCTTGGTCTTCTTGTGCTTGTGCTTGATCTTCTTGGGGGTGGTGTAGACCTTCTTCTTGCGCTTCTTACCACCACCACGGAGGCGGAGCACGAGGTGGAGGGTGGACTCCTTCTGGATGTTGTAGTCCGAAAGAGTACGGCCGTCCTCGAGCTGCTTACCAGCGAAGATCAGACGCTGCTGGTCCGGGGGGATACCCTCCTTGTCTAGATTGGGGGGGATATGTTAGTGGATATTGTCCTTCCAAAATGAATAGCGCATTTTTTTTGCCGAATAGACTCACCCTGGATCTTGGACTTGACATTGTCAATGGTGTCGGAGGACTCCACCTCAAGGGTGATAGTCTTACCCGTAAGGGTCTTGACGAAGATCTGCATCTTGATGAAGGTCTGATAGCAAGGGCGACAGTTAGTTCTTGTGCCTCGTTTGGGGACGGCCTCTGTGAAAAGAGATTTTTTCCAGAAAAATGTTCATCCCCTCATCATCCTGCAGGCTTCTTTTTCGCCTCCCGAATCATCTCACACAGAAACAAGATTTGCACAGTGCGAGCTGAAACGAAGGGGATACAGAAAGGGGGCATGGATGAGGATGAACATCCTGTGATCGCCTCTCTCTCAAGGCAAGTGTAGGGGGCGTTCAACTAACCTCGACAAGACTTGTCTTCCTAAACCTTCAGTGACGATCGTGAGGGAGAAATATCTATGGTGGAGGCCGTTCGTTAAAATCGGTTGTGCGATCACGTGGATTGGAGTTGCCTGTTCGAGGTTAGTGCTCCTGTAATCGGATAATCCGCCCTCCGGGTACTCACAGTCAGGTGATCAGGATCACTATCATGTGACTATCCTCGATCCCCAGCCTCTCTCTCCAGGCTCTGCGTCATTGCTGCCTGAAAGGTCCGGCGCCCAGTCCGCTGGGGGCATCTTCCCGTCGGCAAAAGCCCCGGAAACGATATCCAGCTTATCCAGCTTATCCACTCCACTCAGTTTCGAAGCACAAATGATATCGTCATCACCGTCAGCATTCCCTCTTTCCTTCACCCCCCCCCCCCCCCCTCACCCTGCCTCAGCTGCAAGATTACTCATGATCATTCAAAGCGCAGGAGGATTGGCGTCAATTATTTGAAGAACTATTGCAGAGATAGGGAGCGTCAATGAAGTACTCAGTAATAACGTTTCGAACCCTCACTGCCCACAGGCGGCTTCGATCCGCGACAGGATGGAACTGCCATCGGGAGCTGAACCGCGGTGCAGCCGGCGTCTGGAACTCTGGATCGCGCAGGGGAACACACCCAGGATCACAGATAAAACCGGCTCCTTGCAGGGCCCGATCAACTTACGGCCTAAAGATGCTAAAAGTGCTAAAAGTGCGTTCGGACCAGGGCGCGATCCACTGCACTGGCGGGCTTCCATGCCAAGGGGCGCTGGTTGTCCTGACGCCTCAACCCAGCCGCGTTGCTACGCCAACGCCGCCATTTGTTGATCTGAACCGTGGTCGGTGGATCGGGATAGCTTCATCATCTCCATCCACCTACCTTGGTTCCCACCTCTAAATACCCTTAGACATCCTTTGTCTTGTCTCTCCCCCAGCCTTCCTGCCTCCGTTAACCCCGGAGCTTCAAGACCGTTTCGCAATCGCGACAGGAAAGCTCTAGAACCTACAAAAAAAAGAAGGCTGCTTCGGCTGCATCTTCCACTGCATTGACGATCTAGAAGGACCACCGCCAGAACCCACTTTGCATAGATCTGACGCACAGTCTACTTTGATACTTTGAAACTCTCTCTGTCTCTTCCATCTGTCCTGCCCTAGCTTAAACACCTAGACTTCTGCGCGCGTGAGTTCCTTTCTACAAGAGATCACCGACTGACACAATTCCAGGGCGGTTTACTACCATCTGCTTGGCCCAGCCTTCTGGCTAGCGCTGCGAAGAGGTTGGTACTCCTATGCTGAATGATGTTTTTATGGCTCGCGCATTAGCTTTGGTCCAGCAGGCTTACACCTTTATAACCTGCAGAAGAAGTCGGTCAAGTCATCGGCTCAACAATTGCGACCAGCGCGCGAAGATTCCAGTTCTTTCCCCATCATGCTGTCTGCACCGCACAGCAACTATCAAGAACGACATCGTCAACATCGGAGACAGATCTCAACGCCATCCGCTCTTGATGCCGTTAAACCTCCAACTCTTCCCGCACAGGCAATGCACCGATTTCACGCTCATCGTCGAGGCCAAAGCTTCGATGCGCGCGCTATGCGCGTTCAGCGATCGCAGTCCATGCAAGATGGTACCATCACTACTAATGTAACAGTACCGCAACAGCACCCAACCATGTTGGCGCCCGCTCAAGACCACCGCTTTCTCCAAGTCGCGCAGCCAACTTTCCCCCACCATCCCGCGCCCATGCCCATGATGGCTGAATGCCAGGCTTTCCCTCAAGAAGACTTGCAATCCTTCGCCGCTCGTCAAAGCCAAGGAGGCCAACCAAACATGCCTTACATGAACGCAAACTTTATCAAGGTCGAAAGCCAACCAATGAACATGTCGCTCAACCTCATGCAACAGCAGCAGCAGCTCCAGGATGCGAAACTGTCTTGTCAAGCGTCCTTGGAGGGCCAAATCTTGGACAATGGAGCTTGGGATGTCTACCAACAGAACAATATCGCTGCAGCATTCCAGCAGCAACAAGCTAATGCCATGGTAATGGACGCAAGACGACTGTCGGCGGCACCTGCCATCAGTCAGCCGCACCCAGTGCATGCGCCAAAGCTTAGCAACGGACGTAAGTCCCCGAAGATATTTGTCCGTCTCAATATGGCTCGAGGCTCTGACTAGTCGTGCAGAATATGCCCAGATCACACCTGCGGCCACCCCCTTCAAGCAAACAGTGGGCCTTGCGCACTACAATCCGGACATTCAACCTTCCCCAACTAAGGAGCAAAGCCTCTCCGTGTCCGGTTCCGCGCAGGCGTCGTACATGCAGCGCGCGAAGTCTCTCCAAGGAGTAGTCGGAACTACGTTCTCCCAGCAGAAGTTTAACATGCCCTCTCCCCCTACTACAGCATCTTTTGAAGTGGATACCTTTGATACTTTTGACTATGAGCAGGGTTCTAACATCGAAGTTCCTAAGTCTGAGAGTCTGTCGCAAGGGCCGTTTGCCTCGTCGTCATCAGCCTCGTCGTCCTTCGCCTCGTCACCAGAGCTCGCCGCCATGCCATGTCCTGAGGATGGCAGCGGAAAGGCACAGAAGCTCCCGATCTATCCTGCGACCCCCAACCGTGTGAATCACCGGAAGACCCCGAGCGCAACCCCTAGCACCGCAGCCAAGCCAAAGCTCTCGCCGCGGGTCGCAACTATCGATAGTCTCAACCTAGACGCTCGCGTACAGGCATCAATCAAAGAAACCGGTGTCACCATCGACGAGATTGCGTCTTATATCCACGGCCCGGACCCCGAAGACGGCAAATGGGTATGCTTGCACCCCGGGTGCGGACGTCGCTTCGGCCGCAAAGAGAACATCAAATCGCATGTGCAAACCCACCTCGGGGATCGGCAATACAAATGCGACCACTGCAACAAGTGCTTTGTCCGTGGTCACGATCTGAAACGGCATGCGAAGATTCACACCGGCGACAAGCCCTACGAATGCCTGTGCGGTAATGTGTTCGCGAGACACGATGCGTTGACGCGACACCGACAGCGTGGTATGTGCATTGGTGGCTACAAGGGCATCGTGCGCAAGACTACGAAGCGTGGTCGTCCCAAGAAACATCGGCCCGAGATGGATGAGAGACAGGACAAAGCAGCCCGAACCCGTCAGCGTATCGCCGAAAAGGGGTCTTTTGATTCCTCTGCTTCCGACTCCTCGCGCAGCACCCCTCCGTCTGATGTCTTCGAAAGTATGAGCCTTCACGGGTCGAGCCCCTCGGAGGAAATGCCGGTTTTCAGCAACCCTAACTACTCACTGCCTCCGGAAGTATTCACCTTCACACCGCCCGCGTCTCCAGGCCACAGCACCGGGAACAAGCCGTCTCCGGCCCAAAGCCACCGATCGCTAAGCCCTACCACCGAGGACGAAATGCTGCCTTCGCCGATCAAGCAACCCCTGCACCGATTGATGTCCGACTCCAGCCTTCCCTACCTGTCGGATCCCGAGTCGTGTACCTACACCGATGGCTCCGGCTCAGTCACCAATGGTCTCTCTTCCCCGCATTCCGCCCCAACTCTGACCGATTCGTCCGCTGGCTCCGAGCTTGATATCTTCATGAGTCAAGAATCGGCTGCGACGTTCGCTAAGCAAGAATTCAGTGACCTGACTGAAACAGACATGGCCGCCTTCCCCGATTACGTGAACACGGCGACCTTCGAGACCGGAATGGATCTCTTCCCCGCGAAAGGCTATCCTTCGGGGCCTGCCATGGGTGACGATTTCTTCTTCCAGTTCCAAGTGGACGAGCAAGCCGCCGACGCCGTGACCAAGGAATTCTTCATGGATTGAAAAAGATACAGACGACAGCTACGATCACGATCTCGAGGTGAATTTATAACGACCAAACCAGCAATTTGACGACGCGATGACCTCAGGCTAACGCCCCATGTGCAACAAGACTCTTGACGATTTAGGACTGAACGATTTGGAACCATGCATATAAGATATGACCCCTTTGCCTTTTGCCCTTACCTATCTAAAGACCGAGACGACCCGAACATATGTGTACAATGTTTCCCACGAAGAACCCCTCCACCCCCCTAACCTCTGACTTCGTTTCTGAACCACTTCGATTGATTTTTTACCTGTGACAAAAGAAAATGTTTTGCTTCGCTGCTGCTCCTTTCCTGTTCCGTGTCTATCCCGGACGACCGACTCTCGCTCTTCGAACTTGCAAAAAAACCTGATTCTATGATTTGATGCTTTGCAAACGAAATCCATGTACGACCAACCCCCACCCACCCCCTCAGGACTTGTGGAAATATGCCCTTTTGCCAATTTACGGAGTTCTTTTTCTACAGGTCGTCCCTTCGTTTTTGTTGAATGCCTTTTATGTGTGGATTTTTCCGAAATGAACTTTGAGATTTATGCTATTTTGTGGATTTGAGAAACCTCCTTCTTAAGATTCTGTGTCCCTTATTCGAATGTTGATTTGATCTGATCTGATTTCTCGAAACGAAACTCTGTTCTTCTACCCTTTTTTTCTCTTCTTCCTGTGCTATTCTGATTCCGTTGTGCTCCACAATACCTCTCTGTTCATGTTGTTTTGTGTATGCGGAATGGGATGGAATGGGATTTTCCTTTCTTCTGGAGGCATTAATGCGAGATTTAACGAAAAGACCTCGGACACTCGTTTTTCTTATTTTGTGTGTATTTGAAGCTTCTTTACTTTACCGTGAATTTCTTTACGAATCTACTAATCAATTCTTTGATCATTGATGCCATTCTGTCTCGTCCAGTGTGGTAATAGCTCATTGCTTCATTGGGCCGTGCGCTGGGCCAAGGAGGCGGCATTGCTATGGTTCTTTGCGATGATCCACCCACCCTGGCGGGTGTTCCATTTTACTCGTACGAGTACTTCTGTATGCAATTAGGAGAAAATGTCTTACGCCATATTCGCAAAGTTGTACAACGAGAGTGGAGTCCGTGTTGAGGGTATCGCAAGTAGTCGAGTTGGATTGTCATAATGTATGTACAGTACATGAGTTGAGGGGGTTTTGTTTTCAATGCTGGGCCCCCTCAGTCCGAACCAGCTTCGTTGGATTGCTTCTTCTCCTTCTCCTTCTCCTTCTCCTGCTCGTGGACGCGTTCCTTCCATAGCCGGAGGACCTCGAATCCCACCTCGACGGCAATGAGCAGGATGATGATCCATTCCAGGCGCAGGCCGTGCGTCTCGCTGAGCCGCTCCCGCAGCACGCTGGCGATCTCCTGGGCGTAGTCCATCTTCTCGTTCAGCAGCTTGATGCGGATGCCCACGTCGAGCGCCCGCCCGACCTGCTCATAGTACCCCTCCAGCCCCAGTTCATGCCGACTGTCCCAGAAGATGTCCGGCAGGGAATCGGTCAGCTCGGAGTAGAGGTTCAGCTGCGCGCGCACGCTGAGGAGCTGGCCCGTCTTGCGGAGGATGAAGTCGCGGGTGAACGGGAGGCGCGAGCCCTGGGAGAGCAGGGTGGGGATGGGCCGCGTGGACTCGAAGTAGTTGGAGAGCAGGGACTCCAGCACGGCCAGCTTGGTGCTCCGCGCCAGCCCGGACGAGAAGGCCACCTTGGTCAGCACCGTATCCACCGACTGCTGCCGCCGCGCCGAGGCCGTTCCCAGGTTGTTGTTGTTGCTGTTGCTGTTGCTGTTGCTGTTGTTGTTGTTGTTGTTGTTGTTGTTGTTGTCCGGCCGTGCACCGAAGCTCGGGGCCGGTTTCGTCCCCAGCACGATCGTGTCGCCCTTGATGCTGCTGTTCTCCCGCTGCGGATCCTCCACGTATTCCAGGTCCTCCGTCTCCAGCTCGTCCACGTGGGCGCCCCGCGCGGCCGCCAGCAGCGTCCGCGTCGCCAGGAACGAGGTGAACGCCTCCGGCAGCGACCACGCCACCACCGTCCCGGACGGGAAGACGAACAGATCTCCGACCTCGTCCGGCGCCAGGTCCGACGCGTTGGGGTTGCTCACCCGCCGGATCGAGTCCAACGGCACCTGCACGTGCACCACCTGCGGATACAGACCGGTCTCGTAGGGGTCCGGCTCATAGCCTTTCAACTGGAGAATCTCGCGCACTTGGTGGATGTCGAATTGTTCGGCCAC